TGCATTAGGTACATGTACTAATTCCACCCAACAAATACAATCTTTATGTACTCTGAACATATACTAATTTTTTTAATATGTACTAATTTTTTAAAAAATTGACACCAGGCTTTACAGCATGCACCTATTAATCCCAGCCCTTGGGAGGCCGGGATAAGAAGATCACAGCAAGTTTGAGTGAGTTCAAGACAAAACTAAACTACATAGCAAAAACTGGGGCTGGAGTTATAGCACAGTAGTAGAACACTTGCCTTACACTGTGGAGCCCTGGTTTCAATCCCCAGAACAGCAAAAAAATAAAAAGGATTTGTTTTAATGAAAAATTGGAAACACTCCAATTATTCAAGGTTGGGGATTCAGCTTAGTGGTAGAGTACTTGTCTAGCAAGCACAAGGCCCTGGATTGATTCCTCAGCACAGAGTAGGGGAGGGGAGGGGAAGTGCGAAGGGGAGAGAGGCTAAGAGGGGACAAGATGGGAAAGGAAGAAGGAAAAAAAATGAGAGAAAAAAAGAAAATAGTAACATGGAATTTGGAACCTCACTTCTCAAGGATTCCAGTTGAATATACTCCTCTACATGGTAATGATTAGCAGGCAGAGACGCCTGTCACGGTTGAGATGGAGAGGCATTCACAAGTTTGCTATGGTCTCTCGATTCTACCATGGCCACAACTCAGGGAGACATCCTGCCAACAGAAGTACAGACGCTGGTAATATACCTGGATTTCTTCCTTCAAACTTCCAACATTCAAGTCACAAAGACTTACTGAACCCCTGGGCTGTGACAGACAAAAAGAAGGCAGCTATAGTCTCTGCTCTAAAGAAACACTCCAGACAGTTCCACAAGAGTCCCTTGACCTACAATTCATTATGCCTTGAAAGGCCACTTCAAGCTTGATAGGGACCCCTCTAAGACAAATTTTTTTCCCAGCAAATGGAAATCTATTTTTCTTCCTTAACATCATGTCAGATATAATAGAAGGCTATACCAAGTCAACACATACCAGTCTAATGCTTAACCTGGAAGGAAAAGGAGTTCAAATAAGTCAGTCTCTTTTCAGCTATCAACAAGCCAAATTGTTTATCTTCTCCCAGAGCTTCTCAAATTTTCTGCATGCACCAAGAACAATACAAGACCCTATATCAGCTAGGGTTGGGGATATAGCTCAGCGGCACAAGTTCCTGCCTGGCAAGCACAAGGTTGTGAGCTCGATCCATGGTACAAAAAAGAAAAAAAAAAAAAAAAAACCTTTCTCAGCTGTCTTGAAGTTTAATGGGCCAATATCTACAGAATATTCACATCATCATACAGCTGTGAAGAGGATCAAAGTGCCCACATAACATGCTCACATTTGCAAAAGCAAATTGGAAGGTCAAATCAAAGTCTCACTTTACTAGGAACTTGACTTACAAAAGAATGCTAGTATATATTTCTGATTCCATAGACACTAGAACCTGTAAAGTCATTCTAATATTTTCCTGAAGGCTGCACTTTCTCTAGTTCATTTATACAACTTAAGTATAGAATTGCAATTGGACCCATACAAGATGCTTATTCAGCAATCCCACCTTCTAGTGAGTTAGCATTTCAATTCTCTTCTAGGAGAATGATTAAACTGCATTTATCCTAACGACAAGCACAGCTCTGTTGACCTCCCTCTGATAGTTGGAAATGACTTTGAAAAAAATCACAAAACACAAGGCAGCTTCCTACTCAAAGCTCAATCTAAAAAGCAAAACACTATTAAAATGGAATTTTGTAAGGTATTATCACATACACTTGTAATCCCAACACTTGAGCGGCTAAAACAAGAGAACCAAGAGTTCAAGGAAGACCAGCTTGGGTTACATCGTAAACTCTAGAACAGCCTGGACTACACAGCAAGACCTTGTCTCAAAAAATAAAAAGCAAACAAAATAAAAAATAAATAAAATAAAAAGCAAGCTGGGCGTGGTGGCGCACACCTGTAATCCCAGGACTCAGGAAGCTGAAGCAGTAGGATCCTTGAGAGTCTGAGGCCAACCTGGGCTACCAAGTGAGTTCAACACCAGCCTGAACTGCATAGAGAGACCTTGTCTCAAAAAGATAAATAAGTAAATAAACAAGCCAAGCACGGTGGCACCTGCCTCTAATCCAAGCACTGAGATACTGAGCCAGGAGGATTACAAAAATCAAAACCAGACTGGGAAACTTATTGAGATTGTCTCAAAATAGAAAGTGAAAAACAAAAAATCTGGGAACATAGGAGGGTTCAATCCCCAGTATCACCACCCCCACGGTGCCACACACACACACAAAAATAAGATTTTTCTGTGCCCAAGGATAGCTCAGTGAAAGTACACATCTGCCTAGCATGTGCAAGGACCTGGGTTAAGTCCCCAGCACCACAAAAATAAGAGATTTTCTTTTGATAACGGACACTCTGGGAAGAATGGCCAATATTTTCATTTACAGTCTCAACTCTGCTAAGCACCCCATATGCACTTCATCCCCATAAAGCTGGCATTATTTCTATTTTAGAATCAGGAAGTTGCCCAGGCATGATGGTGCACACTTGTAATTGCATCACTCAGGAGCCTGAAGCAGAAGGATGGTCATGAGTTTGAGGCCAGTCTGGGCTACACCGTAAGTTCAAGGACAGCCTGAACTATATAGCAAGACTCTGTCTTAAAAAAAAAAAGGTAGGGGACAAAGCTCAGAAGCAGAAGGGCCTACCTGGCAAGCACAAGGTCATGAGTTCGACCTCCAATATAAAAAAAAAAAAAAAAGGCCAGGGATTTAGCACCTGCCTTGCAAAAATAATAATAATTAATTTTTAAAAAAAGAATTAGGAAATTAGAACTTAAAGAACCTCAAGATCTCAGATAAGCCAGAAACCAAGTCTAGGCCTTTCTGATTCTCAAGTTCATCCTTCTACCCAACAAACTGTATTCTGTTTCCAAGGTACAAGCAATGAGACCACAACTAGAGTACAAAAGCCACAGCTATCCTTTCTAATTGGACAAAAAAGACAACAGCTTTCTACAACAATGATGCAGATTTTTCAACTAGGAAACAGTGCAATAGTTTGGTTTTGGTTTTCTTTTAAAATGGAGATTTCTCCAGACCTTCTGAATCGAAATCTTAGAAAGCAAGAATAGGTGAGGGCATTGTTGAATGACACAGCACAAGGCCTCGGGTTCAATCTCCCCAGCAGAAAAAAGTGGAGGTAGTGGGTGAGGGAAGATAGGGGAGAAGATAAGGGAAAATGATCAAAACATGTTCATGTACAAATATGCCAAAATGAAACCTATTAAGCTATATAACAAAAAAAGAGGGAGAAAGAAAACGTATAAAAGGAAAAAATCCTAAGAGTGACACTCTTGGAAGTTTTTATCTTGAAAAACTACCTTAATAGTTTTTATACCATTAGGATAGAGGCTGCAGCACCTACACATACACCTGGCCCTGATAAGTGCTCACTAATGTAGCTGAATCTGCATATAGTCATATCTCAACAGATTTTACAAATGGTATAGCTACTGGAGTCTGTATTTTAACAAAAAAAAATGACAAAGTTTATTCAAGAAAATAGTAAACAGTGGGAGAGAAACTGGCTCTGCAGAGCAAGCTTCTGCTGAGTAAAAGGGAAAAAAGTAAAAAAAAAACCCTGGAGAAAACAGGGTGGCTATCATGAGGAAAGTCAGATAGCCTGGAGCCCCTACTTTATGCCAAATACACAACCAGGCAGATGTACAAGTAAATCATCATGTGACATAACATGATATACTCAGTATTAGCATGGTGTACAGGGGAATCAATGCTCATGTGAAGCAAGGGAGATTTTCCAAAGAAATGACGTTTCAGGTGTTTTTCAAGAGCATATGTGCAGCCGGACATAGTGGCTCACGCCTGTAATCCCAGCACTTGGGAGGCTGAGGCAGGAGGATCATTGCGAGTTCAAGACCAGCCTAGGCTACAAAGTGAGCTCAAGGACAGCCTGAACTGCATAAACAGACCCTGCCTCAAAAAGACAAAAAAAAAAAAAAGAGCCTATGTACATTTCCCATGGGAGCAGTGTAAGAGTATTATAAAAGTATTACAAGAGAATGAAGCCACAGAGCTAATAGGAAACTAACCCCGCAACAACTATTTTAGGAAAGCAAAAAGTGTCCAGGTGTTAGCCAAGCGTGGTAGCACATGCCTGTAAACCTAGGACTCTAGGCTGAGGCAGGATTGAAAATTTCAGCATAGCTTGGGTGACTTAACGAGACTCTGACTTAAAATTCAAAAATAAAGAGCTGGGGGTATAGTTCATTGTGAAGGTCCTAGTGCAATCCCCAGTACTGGGGCACAGGTAGGAAGTACCGAAGTGCTTACCGTAGAGTGAGGCTTTTAACAAATTATTAATAACTAAGAAGCTTGGCCTTTCTCCTATAGTCACTAAGGAACCAGTTTTCAGCAGTGAAGAGGTTATTTAGATTTTCAAGTGGGGGTTATCACATCAGTAGCTTCACTGAGGAGCAATGAGTGGGCTAAGCTTCCCCTTGCAAGGATGACAGGTTTATATGCAGGTGATCACGCTGGACCCACGCCTGCTTTATTCCAACAGTATAAGAAAGCAATCAGTTGCCCCGTCAGACTCTGGTGTTCAGTCGCAGAGAAAGGGTGTGCAGTAGGCTCTGGACACAAGCAGGCAATGAGCGTCATCAGATTAGTTCAACCTGACCCGCGCTGGTCGTGGAAAAGCTAAACTGAGGAAGGGCAGCTGACCACGTCCACCTCGCCCAGTAGAGACGGGCTGCGCAACATGGCAGCACTTTTCAAAACCAAGCCATTCCCGGACACCTGCGACCCGGAGGAGCCATCGCCCGGCCTGCTCTCTTGTTCTGCAGGCCCCAATGCAGACGGGCCGAGAACTCCTGGCTGCGTAGAAGTAGGCCCCTGTGCTGCAGGAAATAACCGAGACTGCCCCTCCCGCTCGCTGGCCGCCAGCCACCGCCCTGAGACAGGTCGCCTCACCTCGAGCGGGCGGCGGGCTCTTCGGCGTCTCGGCGGCTCCGCGAACCATATCCCGGCCGTGGCCACAGCCGCCGCCGCCGCTGCCGCCGTCGCCGCCGTCGTCGACGCCATCATCCTCCCGAGTCAGCGTCGTGGCGTCATCACAGTGCGCGCCCGATGCCAAAACAAACCAGGGCAGCCCACGAGGGGATAGGTCAGAGGCGGAATCTCTGGAAACCCGGCGAGAATATTGGGCACACTGGAGAGCTTCCTACCAATCAACGTCGTGAGGACGGGACAAGACTTTCTTTGGGATGTGCCTTTTGCCCAAATGGGATTTGCAGGCTCCAGGAGTGATAGTGCTAGCAGCCTGGACCTCGGTAGGTACTGAGAAAGTTTCAAGTTTCTGATTGAGAGAAGAGGGACTTTGTAGAGGGAAGGAATCCTATGTAGAATCCTATTAGAAATACAGTGAAATAGATTTCTAGAACTGAACTGGATGGATCTGCAGGCACTGTGCCGCTGAGCTATATACCTGGCCTCTATTTTTATTTTTGTTTTGTTGTTGTTTTGTTTGAGACAGGGTCTAGCTATGTAGTTCAGGGTGCCCTAGAACTCACTGTATAGCTCAGCTGGCTCGAACTAGCGGCGACCCTCCTTCCATAACCTCCAAAGGATTGGGATTTCAAGTATTGCACCGCCATAGCTGACCAAAATCTGTATTTAAAAACTAAGATTAAAATAACTCTGGTTTAAATAATAATAATTTTGGAGCCAGGCATAGTGGCGTACGCCTCTAATCCCTCCCCCTGGAAGACTGAGGCAGGAAGATTGCTACAAGTTCAAGGCCAGCTTGGGCTACAAACTAAGTTCAAATCCTGCTTGAACTGCATAGCAAAACCCTGTCTCAAAAAAACAGAAACAGAAAAAAAAATTGACACGATATGTTTGATTTGTCTTTCATTACTGCAACAAATAGTCAATTTTGAATTGGTGAAGTCAGTAGTGGGCCAACTTGGACAGCAATGACTTTTATCGTTTTTATATTTAAATATTTCATGAGGTTATAAAGCAAGAGATTTTTTTTGTCACTATTCACAATGACTTTTATGTAGAATAAAAGTTTCACTACTTTACAATAAATTCAAATTACCAGAGAAAAGAAAGGCTGCAGGAAATATGTCATTGTAACTTCCTTTCATCTTCTCCTTTTCAGTCCTTCATTTATTCAGGTCTTTATTTTTTGTTTATTTTATTTGAGACAGAGTCTCACTATGTAACTCAGGCTGGCCTTGAACTCATGTCTGTATGAACTCATGGTCCATATCTGTAATCCTAGCATTTGGGAGGCTAAAGCAGGAGGATTGTCATAAATTTAAAGCCAGCCTAGGCTGCAAGTGAATTTATAGCCAACCTAGACTACCCAATGAGACCTGGTCTCAAAAAAGCAAAAATAAATAAAGCTAAAAATTGTTCACAGTTGGGCATGGTAGCACATGCCTGTAATTCCAGCACTCTGGGAGGTCTGGACAATGTAGCAACTTATTGAGACCTTGTCTCAAAAAATAAAAAAGGTGAAAGGGGGAGGAGGGGAGAGAAGAGGAAGAGAAGTAAAAAGTATGAAGATGTATTATGTACATATATCAACTCCCAATGATGAATATAATCATTATATACTGTAAACAGGTACACATTAATAAAATTAAAGGACTAGAGATGTAGATCAGTGCAAAGGATTTGGGTTCAAACTCTAGTACTGAAAAATTAAAAATCAATAAATAAATGTTTCCAAAGTCTAGTGGGATTATTAACAGGAATTTGGGCCAAACAAACCTAAGATCAAATCCCAGCTACAGGGATAGGGATATAGCTCAGTGGCACAGTTCCTGCCTGACAAGCATGAGGTTGTGAGTTTGATTCTCAGTACAAAGAAAAGTTCTCAAATCCCGGCTCTTTCTTAGGGATATCATCTTCTCTCCTTAAACCTCGTTTTTCTATTTATGTAATGGGGATCATAATGCTGACCTTACATATGGCTAAAAGTAATACAGAACTTAAGGCAGTGCCCCACAGAAATCCATATCATATCTCCATTTTACAGACATTCAGAAAATTAGTGAACAAAAATTTATTGAACCCGATGTGCAGGTGTTGATCTGGGCCCTGAGAAAAAGCACAAGACTCTGTAGTCAAGAAGTATGTTGAGGCAGAGGTGACTATGCCCAGGACATCCAACCTCCAGACTCTCTTCTGAACAACAAGTTAGTCCTCATCCACATAGCTGCAAATGTGATAACAGTATCACCATGATGTTCTGACCTGGGCAGCTGTGCCTAGAGCCCAGATAGCTTGGCCAGCAGCCTATCCCTCTCCTCTAGGTCTGGGATAAAACACACAAAGCCCTTAAGCCCCTGGCCAAAGAGCAGATTCTTTCTCCCCTCACTGACCCCCCCATCCAACCGTTCCATGGAACAGTAGGGACTTAGGGAGCAAAAAATCAGGGGAAAAGTAGGTCACAGTAGGAGGATGGTAATCCCCCTATGGCTGGCCAAAGTGGCAGGGCTCCTGCAGCAGACAAGCTGTTTCTCCCTTCCACCAAGACTAGCTCTAGAAGACTTTGAGGGCTCTGAAGTCCCACAGTGTCCCTCCTTGCAGTATGCCCATGCTGTAGGATCTGACCCAAGATGATACATCTTCTATAATGGGGTCATTCTCAGTCCAAGTTCTTAATATCTGTAACAGTTCTTGTGCTGGATTTAGAGGTTCAATCTTTCACTCTACATGCTTCACAAGTACACCCTTTATATCCAGCCCTAGTTTGCCATAGACACAAAGAGAACACTACCCTTGAAGCATCCACAGTGAAGATTTCTGATCTACAACTAAGACTGTAATAAGTCAGTACTATCAGTAGAAGTTTCTCAGGGGCTGCATACATAGACTTAGAAGTGGCTTTAGGTTTGTTTTTTTTTGTTGTTGTTGTTGTTTTTTTTTTTTTTTTTTTTTTTTGGAACCAGGGATCGAACTCATGACTGCCTGCTTGCAAGGCAGGCACTTATGCCGCTGAGCTAAATCCCCAGTCCCCAAGAGGTGGCTTTAGCTTACCTTCAGGGTTAGGGAGTATTTCCTGGAGGTGATACTAAACAAGAAGTTCACTGGAGGAAATGGGAAAGGGTATTCTGAATTAAAAGGATAGATGTACAAAGACCTAGAAAAATGAAACCCCTATTTTTCCATCTGGACAATTCCAGTGGTCAAGGGGAGGGGCAGTCTGGGAAGCGTTTTTCTCTTGAAGCTTCTCCTTTGGTTGATATGAGAACATGGGCACTGACTGGTTGATAGAAATTGGGATAAAAGTCCAGGTGGATGAAGCACAGGAACAAAAGCGAAGTCAGGGTAGAAAGAAGGAGTTGAGGCTAGTCATCACAATGGGAGGGTGTTTAGGAAGTATGGGTGACATAGGATTCCTACATACCTGTGTGGAAGACTCTGGAGACACCTGCCACTCTGGAGTCTCAGCAAGGATCTCATCAGGCCTGACTCTATCCTGAAGAGTAACAGCCTCCCAGCACAGACTCCAGTGTAAGCCTAGCCTGCTGAACTCTGGGATTCTACGGCTTGCTCCTTGCCATTACTTTAGATCTCCTAAAGCCCTCTCTACTTCAGCCCACCTTTCCTGCATCACTTGGATGGCATCTTTGTCTCCTATTACCCGCTAAGTGAGCACTACTTTGCTTGTCTGAAGCCTCCCTTGTCCCCAAGGACTAGGTAGGTAACTCGTTTTTGCTGCTGCATAGAGGGACTGTAGGAGTAGACAAAGCTGGCTAATGTAGTACCTTGTAGACAGAGAAAGGAGTTTATGGTAACACAGTTTTTCAATTTAGAAAGTAGAGAATAGGGGCCAGGGATTTAGCTCAATGGTGTAAGCGCCTGCCTGGCAAGCACAAGGTTATGATTTTGATCCCCAGTACAAAAAAAAGAAAGAAACAAAATGAAAATGCTTTGCATAGAAAGTAGAGAATAAAGCATGAATTCGATCCCCAGTACCAATAAAAAAGGAAAAAGAGGAAAAAAAAAAGTAGAGAATAAAGCAGAGGGAGTTGCAGTATGGATAAAAAGAGGGTCACTCCTTGCTTTGCTTCAGTTTCTACCCATGCTGATTATTGCTCTTTCTTTCCTCTAAAATGAAAAGCGACTCCAAATATATCACACAGTGTCTCAAAAGTTTCCCAAAAATGTTTTGTTTTTGAGATCATCTCACTGTGTAGTTCAGGCTGGTCTTGAACTCAACTAGCTCAAGCTGATCTTAATTCTCAATCCTCCTGCCTTAGCCTCTTGAGAGCTGGAATTACAGGTGTATGCCACCCTATCTGGCATTTTCCCCCCTTGAAAGTCCTGTGAGATTGTTGTGATTCCATACTGCACATTTCTCAAAGATCAAGCTTGTGGAGAGCAGGGGCCAGAGAATCCCTCATTGTGACCCCTTTTTACAATTTCAAATCCTGTAAGGGTTTGAATGTGGACTCTTAAAGGGAGGTTGCACCTTCTAGAACAGGCTCCCTAGCCAAGAGGAGGAAGGAGCTGAACACAGCACCTGAGCTTGTCTTCAAGGCTGAGGTGATAGTTCAGCAGAGGGAAGAACTGAGATGTCAGGAGCCTGGAGGCAGAAAGGAGGCTGAGGAGAGAGAGGCCCTACATGAAGGACAAGCTACCACCTCTCCAGGACCATAATAGGAGGGGAAGGCAGGACTAAGAGCACAGGCCTCCCCACAATCTGATCCCCTCACCACAGCCAGCCCAGGAAGTCTGAAAATGGCTGTGCAGTCCAGATTTTGGGTCTCCACTAGAACTCTTGGGACTTGCGAATAATGGAAAGTTCTGTGCTGCAATAGGGGAAATGAACGTTTGTGAGCAGGAAGATTGAGTCCCCATTGGTGGCTCTAGGCCCCGCCCATGCCATACTGAGGATCAGCTTCTGAGAGGGAGGGGCAAGAGGCACACGGGGGTGGGGGTAGCCTCCCCTCCTGCCCCAGCCAAGCGGCAGCAGCTGGAAGAAAGGAAGGAGCTTAGTGCAAATATAAATACCTTTAATGAAAGCCTTGTGCACTCTGCAGAAACAGGGCTGGAGGTGTGGTTGCTGCCACTAGCACCTTCCTGCTAGGCCAGGGGCCCCAGGAGGCAAGCCAGCGCCAAAGCAGCAGCCAACAGGGAAGGTGCAGGGGCTGGGGCAGGTGCAGGCCCTGTTGCCCGCAATGTCTCTTGGTTGGTCTCTGGGCCCACACCACGATCCCTGACATGCACAGGGGCACCACATAAAGTGTGCAAGTTATCTGGGTTCGGGGCACGGCGAGCTTCTTGCTGTAGTGACTCCCACACGGTAGCTGCCTCCTTCGGGCAGCCTGAGAGGACCAGAGAAGCACAGGCATGGAAGTCATTCCAGGACCTGTTAAGGAATGGGATTAGGGGGCTTCAGGATGGGGTGGGGATTGGGTGGGGTCAGGTTTGGGAGTAGGAAGAGGTTCATGCCCTGAAGGTGTCGCAGATTGGGCTGTGCCTCCCACCTGCCCACTGCCTCCCACCTTCCAGTACCTGCAGATAGTCTCCAGCTCGCCTCCTTGGCCCATGCCGTCCCCCAGGCGGATGAGACACTCTGCAAAGCCCTGGTATATGGTATCACAACGACTTGGACCCTCTGTGGCTGCTGCTAGGAGAGGTACAAGGACTGGGGGGTGGGAGGGTGATAGGAATGAGCCAGCCTGCCCTCAGCCCCCAGGGGCTTGTTTACCTGGGAGTGCTCTAGAGACGTGACTCAGCGTGAAAAGGGAGTCCTAGGAAACTAAGCAGCGTATCTGGGCATCAATTGCCTTGGTCCCCTTCAAAGAGGAACCTTTGGGGTACAAGATGGGGGGAACATTGGTCCCAGGAGTTGAGTAAGTTCCTCCTCTGAGCTTCTGGAGCGCTAGGTCAAGTGAGGATGGTCCATGGGAAAGGGTTAGGAGAGCATGGAAGTAAAGGTCTGGAAATATGGGACCACAGAGATAGGAATCTCTTGGTAGCCTCTGAGCTTTGCTTGACCTTTTACCTCCTAAAGTTGGTTATGTCTTGGATGAGGTTAAACAGGATAGAAGGAGGTCAGGATCCAGGCCAGATCCTCTCAGGGAACCTCAGGGATCTGACGGCTGGTCCAAGAATTCTATCAATAGCCACAGGCTCCCTTTACCAGAAGTGCTGCAGAATTTCAGGGTCCTTCCTCAGCCAGAGCTCAATTCATGCCTTTTAGTTTAGAAGCCACTGTCACATTCCCAGTACCCTAACTCCTCTCCACCTCACTCCCTGCTCCCACACACACTCTACCCAACCCGATAGGGGACCTATAACAGGGGTGCAACTTCGACCAGGACCCCCCCAACATCACTCACCGAATGGCACCAACAGCAACAGCCTCAGGAAACGGGGTGGCTGCCTCCAGCAGCAACAGCAGCAGTGGGGCATTGTCCCTGGCTGGGAGCCTAGTGAGGGAGCTACCAGCCGCTGGAGAGCAATCTGTTGGCCCAGCCCCCAGAGGGAGGGACCATGATTGGATGAGAGGCTGGGGCGGGGCCTGTAGCCATCTGAGGCCTCACCTCCAGTACTGAGACTGGCACAGAATAGAGGAACTCTATAGTAAGACAGAGCACACAGGGTGATGAGTAGCCCTAAATCCTGTGTGCAGAGTTTGACAGGGTTATCTTAGAAAGCAGCTGAATAGAGGAGTGGGTAATTATGTTCCATGAGTGGGCATAAACAGACCTCCCCACAGGGAGAAGAAAGGGCAATTTCAACTATATCAAAGACACACAAAACTCACACACATACTCCATTTTATTCAAAAAGCATTTAATTGAATTTCTCAATGTTTTTCAAAAACAAAAAAGTCCAAATTGGAGGTAAAAAGGAACATGGAAAACTCAACTCAAGTGGTGTCACAATCTCAGGATCATGCTCCAGGCATGGCAGAACCCAAGAAGGCACAGTATCTGCCCTGGGCCCAGCCTAACCATGGTGGCTACTACAATCTGTAGACCACAGACATTACAACCTCTCCTCCATCCCTAAACATCTGGGGTGGAGGCCTGAGCAGGTAAATAGCAGACACAACCCCACCTTGGCCTGGCCTGTCTGCTATCCTTTAGTGTCACCTGCACCCTGCACAAGGCAGGCTTAGCTGCTAAGGGAGACTGGGAGTCACAAGGCCATGTAGCATCAGGCTGAGACGCCGGGCTGCTTTCCCAAGTGAGTTGTGTGGCTCAGCCTGCAGGAACTGGAAGAGTTTCTGTCGAACCTGGGCCATGACTGAGCCCATGTGGTCTCGAGTGATGGGATCACTGTGGTCCAGGTGCATCACAGCCTCTTCCAGGTAGCTGAGGGTAAGTTAAAAAGGACAGGCTACAGATGGAAATGCCTCATGGTGGCACTGCTGTAAAGAGGGATTGGTGGCAAGGAAAGTCTCTAAAATTCAGATGGACAGAAGTGGAGATGAGTGGAGAAAATTAGGGAGGGGAGTCAGGCAGGAGCGGGTATCTGATTTGAACTGTTCCCTCCTCATCTCTACTGCACAGCTCATCTAATGCTTTGACTGCCCTCACTTACCTGAGCTTGAGGTCAGTTCTAGTGCCAAGGTCAGATGCAAGCTGCTGGATGAGGGAAAGAAGCACAGGCTGGGAGAGTGGGCAAGGTGGCTGCCCAAAAACCTGGGCTGGGTCCACAGTTTCACATACATACAGCACCAGGTTCAGGTCAGCGGCTGTCAGTGCCTGAGGGCAGAATGGGGCAAAACATTTATAAATAATATCAGGAAGGAATGCCTGCTTATCTGGTATTGTAACTTGGAAGAGGAAAACCATAGAGCAGGGTACTGAGAGCACCAAAGGAAATGCTCAGGGACCCGGAGACAGTATACGGCTATATGGTACCCTAGAAAATCAAGAGATCAGAAAAAGCTTCCTAATAAGGGCAAAGTAAGTTGAAGAGGTCTACGACAAAGGAGCAACAAAGACAATGGCCTAGAAACTATAACCGAGTCTGGAGGAGAATGTGGAATGTATGGTATGTGGGCCCTGTCAGATTCTTGACCTTTACTAGCACCAAACATGGTCATACCTGCTGGAAGGCCTGATTGAGGTGGCCCTGTTGCAGCAGCTGCAGGATATGAGCTTGCTGGGCATGGCAGTCAAGGTGGGAAGAAGGGACAGGCGTGCCAGCAGCTGAGCGCATGGCCTGCATAATGCTAGAGGTGACCGCAGCCTGCTGCTCCTTGAGCGCCACACTCACTTCACCCTTAACAATACGCTGTACCTGTGCTAAAATTGACTCCTGCAGGCTGCAAAGAAAGAAAAGTGAGGCAGAAGTGGCTCGGAATACAGACTTGGCTCCTCCCAAACCTACCACCTTGTCCAGAGCCCTACCCACAAACCTGCCCACAGCTACATGCAACTGGTGCTGCACCTCCGCCCGAACACTGCTGGACACAGTGGCCGCCATCTGCTCTGTGGCACTCTGGAGTGTGCTGACCAGGCCCCGAAGCTGGGCCAGCACAGGCTCCCTGGCTTCCTGTTCCCGTACCTTCCGGCTCTTCATGTGGCTCTCTAGCTGCTGTAAGTCTGAGGGGGTTACCGTGGACAATGTAAAAGGAATGATACAAGAGCAAGCCCCCTCCTACCTTGGGTCATACGATCCTACTCACATTCTTGTGTGCCTAGCCGGAAGCTATCATTGATCTGCTGGAACATGGCCTGACAGCTCTTTTCAAAGGCTGGCAGTACCACACTCTGAAAAGCTTCACGGTAGGCAGCTTGCATTGGCCCCTGTAATGTGTCTGCAGCAGCTCGGGCAATGGCATCTGTCAAGTTCTGGAATAAAAAGGGGGGCCCAGTTGAAAGCCCAGCCTGACCTAATAACAAACCTGTCCTCTCCAATCCTGGGCCCCTATGGCACCTTGGACTTGAGCAACTTGGAAATGTTCTCTTTCATACTGCCTTCCACAGCCGTAAGCTTCGTAGCTACTGAATTGTTCAGCTGGCCAGCTACAGGCTCCAGACTCCTGGAGACACCTGGGACAAGAGGAGGAGAAGGTGGACTCAGAAAAGGAGGCTTGACAGGTACCCCTTCTCCTTCTGGCTCACCCAGCCACCCAAATGAAGTCTCCACACAAAACTCACATGGAGGAACTGTCTTCTTGATCTCATCCCGTATGGTGCGTTCTAGCCGCCCAGCCACAGCTGAAGACAGTGCTTGGGATAGCTGCTGTGTCAGCTGCTCCTGTAACTGCCCACCCCACTGCTGTCCCTCAGCCAATGCCCGCTCTAGCCGCCTCTCTGAATTTTAGCTAAGGAACAAGATTGAAGCATCTCCCTGGCATGAAGATTGAAGCCCCTTCCTGGTATTTTCCTTCCAAGAATGCTGCCCCTGCCTTTCTGTCATGCTTTGCCATTACCCTCAAGGATACGTTCCTGCTCATGCCGTGTCTCAAGAGCACGTTCTACATGGCCTGTGACAGTGCTCTGTAGGCCTTCAAGTTGAGTACACAAACGCTGTAGTAGTTCTTCTTGGCTGTGCCGTAGCTCTGCCAGCTCTCTCTGCTGCTGCCAAATGAGTGCTGGCCAGTCCTCTGGGGGCTCTGCCACCTGTCAGTAGCACTGATAGTAACATGATGCCTTCCCCACCCACCTCCAGCCACTAGACAAGGGAGAGGCCCAAAGTCCCCCCCACCCTCACGGGGTAGGGTTCTAGAGGTAGAAAGGCATTTGATTATTTACCTGATGCTCTGTGAGCCGGGTTCCCACACTTAAATCCCTGTGATAGGCAAGAGGAACTTCAGGTCATGTCAGGCAGCCTAGACAGCACCCCTCTCCCTGGTCCCAGAACCCTCCCTACCCGTCATCCTTCTTGCTTTTCCTTTTGAGCTTGGGTGAAGTACGAGGAGACCCCTTGGACTTCCAGTCCTTGGCAGGCACCCGGGGAGTGGGAATTTTGGTTCCAAAGCCTGCTGAGGCAGAGGCAAGGCTGGCCACCTCATCATCATGGTCACTGTGGGAAAGGCAGAGAGAGGGTAACCGCATGCCCATTTGTTGACTTTCTCTTGTGAAGGAATTGGTATGAGGCGGTACCCACCTTTGTTCAGCACTTGTGTCCTGGCTGTCATGTTGTTGCAGCAGATGATAAGGTGGTCGGTGGAAGGCCAAGCTTTTGTGCTTTTCTTGGAGGCCATTCCTGGGGCTAAGGGGACAGGTCAACTCAGCAATGAATCATTCTAAGCCTCCTCCCACCAGCATACTTTCCCTCTCCCAAGTTCCTTACCTTTCTGCCAGAGTGCTACAGGTCTCACGAGTAATGTCAGGTGCTGTAGGCCAAACCTGACTATCAGAGGTGGCAGCGTCCTGGGTCAAGGCTGCCTCCAGTAGGGAGGGTGTACTATGACGATCCCCATCCCCAGGGCCAACATCCAGGCCATGCTGAGGGCCAAGCTCGGGCCCTGGCCGGGGCCGTGGAGAAAGTAGGTGTAGTGCCGAGGCAGCTGAGGCCATACTGTCTGGCTCAAGGCTCTCAGAAGCAGAGGAACCAAAGCCACGGGACAAGGCCTCAGACGCAATCTCAGGGATATCCTGAGAGAGGGCAGTGGAAGCTGAGGAAATAACATCAGGGGAGCGGGTGCGACTGGGGGAAGCCTGAGGGAGCCCCAGAGGCTCTACTTCCTGCAGGTCCAGGGACAGTGCAGAGGCAGCAGTAGATACCTGAGGGCCAAAGAGAAGGGCTTAAGTGTTAGGAGGTAAGGAACCACAGAATTAAAGCACTGATATTATTTGTACTGAGATGGCATAGTGCCCAGGAGATATACAGGTCAAAAACAGGGCTGCAACCCAGGAGAGAAGGTGGGGACAGGGAGGCTGAGGAAATGCCTTCCAGGGAACAGGGAATATAGACATGACCTCTAGGAAAACATGGAGCATCTGAGGCAAAGGGTTAGCAGGAAAAGTACATGGGAGGACAATACCACCAACCTTCGCTGCTGCTGCCCACCAGCTACCCAGCTCTTCATATACAAGTAACACATACCTGTCCAGACCCCTTAGAAGTCAATTTATCAGCTGGACCTGGGACCAAGCCAGGCAGGAGGCTGCGCGGGCTTCCTTGCAGGCTGCTGTTGCTGCTCATTGTCAGACCTCCATCCAGCTGCAGCTTTGGGCTCAAGGTCAGCTCTTCAGGTGGTCTGGTAGTGGAAAGGCCGAGGTGTCAGCAACTAGAACTTGGCATCACCTGGCACTAGTCTCTGCTATCCCCCAGCTTTGATCTTTTTCTCACCTGGGCAAGGGAGGGTCCACAGTTGAGGTGCTGCTCACGGCAGACACAGCTGTAAGAGAGCTGCTGCTGCTGCTGCTGCTGCTACTGCTGCTGCTGCTACTGCTGCTGCTGCTGCTGCTAGGAGATGCAGTGATCTGGGAAGGCAAAGAGAATGAGCATTGTGGCCTACAGGTAGGGCATACTCAAGTCCCCCTGTAGGGGTTGGGGGTGAGGGCATACCTGCTGCAGAGAGGCAGTGGGTGTCATGAAGGCATCAGGGGTCATCAGCTTGGGCTTGGTCTCACTGCTCAGGTTCAAGAAGTCAGCAGGTGCAGGTAGCTCCACAATTCGTCGAACGTCAGGCTGCGAGCCATGAGAGGTTGACCCCAAGCCCTCAGAACCTAGTTCAGGCC